GCGCAGCTGCGGAGGACTTGACGTGGACTCCACACTGAAACTCAGCAGCGATTGGCTACACTGAAGCTAGATGCATGCAACCTATCAGGCGCGTTCTTCAAACTCATGGTGTGACGGTATTCATGGGTGATCGGTTTCGGGTATGAAACGTGCGCGGTATTTCACTACGCGCTATCATGGAACTATGTGTTACATAACGTTGTGTTGATCGGCCATACTATTGCGGTTAACATCAGCATCTGCACTGCAATGCATCATGTACTGCAGTGACCTTTGAGGAAGGGCACTGCGTTAATCGTGATACGGTAACCGGGTTAGCAACAGCTTGCAGTTGCTGGTCCGTATGCAATTGTTAGTATATTGCAGTCGTTGACAGGATGAACAAATACGTTCGTAAAGAACCATTATGGGTTCGTGTTAAACGAAAGATGAAATGATGGTCTATGTTGACGTTAGCACGATCTTCACCACTGTGCCAAATAGCGACGCACTGGGGATGGTGCAACGCCGTTTGACTGAAGAGAGTGAGCTGGGAGTGATCGAATCTTAAGGTGGTTGAAACAACCTAGAGAAAAACGTTGCGCCATATCGTGTTTTAGCTCAGGTTTCACTCGGAACTAAGCGCTCAGGAACAGGGTGTTACCATGAGGTGGTCAATGTCCACCATTTTGTACACGGTACTGGCAAACTCCAGTAAAGGGCCGAATAATTGTTGGTACCAAATGGACAATACATTTGTGAACAAGAAAATGTATAAAAAACTAGTTTGTGGGGCACCTGATATCGCTCACCATGGAGTAGGAATCTTGCAGTTGGACATTGTCATTTCTTGAGCATTCTGTTCCCGGGAATTGTCAACTCACAAACCGATATTAAGTCAAACGGTGGAAACAGACTGGACACTGCATCACTGTTCATGTCACTCAAAGCAGGTGTATGTTGAAATCGTCTTATTTGTTTTACAGTTCCAAGTCCCAGTGCTCAAATGTAGAGGATGAGAACGCCGCTTGGAAGTAGACAATGATGCACTTTGAAGCGTTGCGTTCCCTGTATCATTTAAACAATGCAATGAGAAAACGGATCTTGCAAGATGATATTATTTCGTGCTCTATGGTCACATGCAACCGAACAACAATTTAAACGGTCGCTAATGGAAGGGAACCACTAGTTTGAATTTTGAAGGAGTGGGCACATACCGTCACAGAACACAGCAAAATCATAAGAAGAGAAACGAGTGTCATAATCCCCAAGGATGCTTACATACGACAGTCAGCTGTATTTGCAAGAACAAATCAAGATGATTACGATTAATGACCAAGGCTTCAGCGACCTTGAATGTTTTGGTGTTTAAATTGCAGTAGATTATCGTAAACCTCATGTATGGGTCAATCTGAGGTGGCGTTTACTATTATCTCCCGCAATTTAAACGCCAAAACACAAGGTTGCTGAAGCCTTGACAACTAATCGCAACGACCTTGATTTTTGTTTGCATAAACAACTGACTACCGCATTCAAGCTTCCTTGGGGATCGAAACACTCATTTCTCTAATTATGATTCTGCTGTGGTCTGTGATAGTATGTGCCTACTCATTCCAAATCCAAACTAGTGGTTCCTTTCCGTTAGCGATCGTTTAAATTGTTCGTTTGCATATGATCATACAGCAAGAAATGATATCATCTTACAATATCCGTCTTCTCATTGCATTGTTTATAATGAGGTAATTGCTGAACAGTGGACACCCGAAATAGTTAGTGAAACACGCGTTTCACAACATTCTAAAATCATATTGATAACATACCACGAAATGGTTTGGGACGGTAAGAATAACTAAGGTAGAAGAAACTTCGTTTTCCTTTCAGAGGATACTAACAAATACGTAGTAACGAATTCAAACAAACCATGCCCCCAGACTGCAGTTAGGCAAGAACAAGACAGTACGAAATAAAGTGTATCGGGCGAAGCAGTGCGGCGTGGCTTACATGACACATGATTTAAAGCATAAGTTAGGAACTATTGAATGCTCAATGCGAGGAAAACCAATAAGAACGCGGTGTGGCTGAATTAATTGATCACTATCATTGACGGATGTAACATCCTCTCCTCTCTTGGAGAAAGTCATACACCGGGAACAAAACGTTCAACAGGTTTAGGTACACGTTGAGATCTGCGAAGTGGTGGGCAGTTTGTTGTTTGCGCAGTATCCTGAGTGGTTTGTTCCACCATCGGCTGAACTGAGTCAGATCTATTTGCCTCATTTGCTCGTGTTTCTACACAACGCGGACGTATGTGATCTGAATGCCGCCTCAAGAAGCGACAATTAAGCTCTATGTCAGCCTGGGTATTATCACTTGTGACCACGGTTGCGGGCTGCCATGACTATTCGTGGGGAAGTCGTGTGTACACAGGATCCCACAGTTGGAAACCAACATCTTTATCCATGTTCAACGTAGCTGTCTTGTTTTGTTTCGCTTTTATTTGCGCTCGACGAGTAGGAACTAATAGGTGTAATCTAGTGCGCAGTGTTCTACGGAACATCAGTTCTGTGAGGGATTTACCCGTGGCTTCTGTTGGAATTATTCTATAGGCAAAACGTAATCGATCTAATCGCGTTTGTACGGATTTCGATAACTGCTTTAGCAGACCTCATTTACCGTCTGTACCTTCCTTTCGGCTAATTCATATGACACAGGATGATATGGGGCAGTACGCACGTGTTGAATGCAATTGCTCTGCATAAAGCTCTCAAACTCCTTATTGCTAAAACAGGACCCATTATCTGTACAAACAGTTGCAGGTGTTCCGAAAACAGAAAACGTAATCGCATCCTTGAAATGGTTGTTTCAGTTGTGGGATGCGACACTGGATAAACATCGACCCATTTCCAATAGGCATCCACTATCAACAGGAAAAATGTTTCGTTCAAAGGACCAAACTAGTCTGCCTTGACCTTTCAAGTAAACGCCAAGGGTGCATTGGACCTGGAGGTTTATACGACTGACATCGTTGGTAGAGATCACACGCTTTCAGGTAGTTTTCAATCTCGGCATCTAAGCCGGGCCACCAGCAATAGCCGCGTGCAAGGGCCATCATTCGGGAAACACCAGGATGTCCATTGTGAAGTTTATTTGGAATGAAGGAGCGCGTTTGACAGTGGAACCAAACGTAAGCCCCAAAATAAGCAACCATCGTGTGTATTCAAATCATTTTTCCGAAGCCCAAAAGGTTTCACATTAGCCGGAATTCTACTAGGCCAGACCAGTTTCCTGAAATCTAGCACGGAAGCTAGTTTAGGATCCCGATTGGTCCATTGACGTATGACGTCACTTGTCAAAGGGATAGTGTCGAGGTACTGCATCAAATGAACTAACCCCACTGATTCATCATTGGCCCTGCGGGGTCACATGAAGTAACCGACTCAGGGCTTCCACCGTTCTGTTGTTAGAGCCTGGGATGTAAGATATTTTGCATCTACACGTACTAAGGATTAGGGCTCATCTTTGCATTCTAGGTGAAAACGTTTGATGAATCCCCTTGGATTCACCCAATAAGGAAATCAACGGTTTGTGATCAGTTTGGATCTCAGAGTGACTGTTCCAAATATACTAATAAGATTTCTTGACACCAAAGATCACTGATAGACATCTCGATCAAGTTGTGAGTAACTTTTCAGCCGGTTGTAAGGCGCGCGAAACGAAAGCAATCGGGTGAATTTCATCATTCGGTATTTTATGACACAAAACCGCTCCAACTCCGCAGGGAGAAGCACCACACTGAATGATCAGGTTTTTTACTATCGCAGTAAACTAAAACTGGCGCTGATGCCAACAGCTTTTAGCAAGAATGAACGTGGACTGATGCTCATCATTTCACACATACGGGGTGTTTTTATGTAGCAGTGCGTTCGAAGGATTTAAAACAGTTTATTCCCCCGATACAAACACGACGATAGTGTGATAACATTCCTAAGAACGCTCGGAGTTCATCAACATTCTTAGGCTGCGGTGCCTGTATACTTGGGGATATTTTATCCTACAAAATATGCAGACCTCTCTTATCAAGTTTGTAGCCCAGATAACAAACAGATTCAGACAAAAACACACATTTAGATTTCTTCACTTTCAATCCATTCGATTACAGTTGCAACACCGTCCGAAGTGTCTTGAAATGTTCAGCATCACTTCGACCAAAAACCAGAATATCATCCAAATAAGCACAAGGGTACATCCTTCACGATTTAATCCACAATCCGCTGGAAGATGCTGAAGGCGGAGCTTATTACGAAAGGAAGACGGGTATACTGAAGTAGCCCAAGCTGTGTAACTATGGTGGTTAATTCGGGTGAGTCCTCATCAAGTTCAAGTTGAGAATATGCGTGACTAAGATCAAGCCTAGAATAATTGTGACCATCGGATAAGGTAATGCACAAATTTTCGATGCATGGCAAAGGATACTTTTCCACCTTGGTAGCTTGATTGACTGTGGACTTATAGTTTCCACAGATACGAACGGTGCCTTCGGGTTTGAGTACAGGAACCATTGGGGTACCCCAGTCCGAGTGTTGTAGGGGCATGGTTACGCCTTCGGATTGTAGCCGTCGTAGTTTTACTTCAGCTTTGGGACGCATAGTGTAAGGTAATGTTTGTGCTTTGTAATACTTGGCCTTGGTGTTCTCCTGTAGATCGATGGAAGTTATGAAATGTTTCAATTTTCCTAAATTAGTTTCGAATAAAGAAGAAAATCGGTTCAACAGGTCGTTTAGACTGCTGTCATTGATCATGACCTCATTAATCTGCATCACTTCTGGGAAGTATCGGATCCAATTTCCGCCCAAGAGATTTGGCCTTTTCCCAGGTACCACGATCAAAGGTAGTTAATTCCCGATCGCCGTGCCCGACTATAACTTCGAACTTTCCCAAGACCCTAATCGGATCTCCTGTGTAGGTTTGCAAGTTGGAGTCACATTGCAGAAACGGTGGCAGACTTTTGATTGAATCACTGGTTATAATGATAACTGCAGCCCCTGTATCCAGTTCCAAATCGAAGGTTCTTTCTCGATCATCAAACGAATCGTATATGGAGAGCACTTGTTAGGTGATACGGTATTCAAACAGACGGAATTTAGCGCGTTGTCTGGATCTTCCAGGTTTTTCTCCGTAAGCGGCAGCCTATTATGGCGACTCGATTGAGTGAGATTGGTTGGTGGGGCGGGTTCCGATCTACATACGAAGGCTAGGTGGTCTATTTTACCATATTTTCGGCAGATGCTTTCTTTGTGGCGATACTCAGAAACACGAGAATGTTGCATCCCGCAACAATAGCACACGAACTGTTTTCGATGTTCACCTGGAGTCCGTGGTTTAGCAACTACGTGGACAACATCGACGACTGGATGGGCAGTGAATTCATGTAGTTGTTGCGAGATATTCTCCCTTTGGTAAACGACTAGACGAACATCCTCCCACGTGGTATTTGACTCG